GCTGAAATAGAGAAGCTGAAAAATGCAGAGAAGAAGAGGAGGGAAGAAGTATGGAAGGCAAAGAAGGAAGAAAAGAATAAGAAACGAAGAAATTAAATGATTTACTTTTGTTATTTTTTTTTATTTTTTAATGGAATCTCCATAACGACGTTTATTTGGTCAGCATTTCTGTCTTTGACTCTAAAACGGCTAAAACAATGTCGGTGTATAGAGATCCAATTTATTGACATTCTTGCTCTATTTTTTATTTTTAATTTAGTAGAACAAATTTCCAATTTAAAACTAGAAATCCATAAAGGTCCAAAAACCGTTATATCTTTACCATATAACAATATTTGTTTCAGAATTCAAAAATTTGCGCTATTTGGCATAATGCAAACCATTAAGAATAAATGACACTTCATCCCAAAAATCAATAATCGATTTTTAATGGCTCGTCTAGTGTTCTCTGTTGTCATTTATAGCAAAGATGTTCTACAACTTGGAGCGTGGCTTTTCCTTTTTTGGGGTTAACCTTTTTGAGGGGTGGGGAGGAGTAATGACTTGCGGACAAGACTTGCTTTTTTCAATTTTTGAAAAATGTATCCAATTTTTAGCAGCAGCAGCAGTAACAACAGCATCAGCAACAACAGCAGCTACAACAACAGCAGCTACAACAACAGCAGCAGCAACAACAAAAAGCACCAGTTTCTCCGGAGATAGCAGGGCAAAAAAGCACCAGTTTCTCCGGAGATAGCAGGGCAAAAAAGCACCAGTTTCTCCGGAGATAGCAGGGCAAAAGCACCAGTTTCTCTAAGGAGATAGCCGGGCAAAAGCACCAGTTTCTCTAAGGAGATAGCCGGGCAAAAGCACCAGTTTCTCTAAGGAGATAGCCGGGCAAAAGCACCAGTTTCTCTAAGGAGATAGCCGGGCAAAAGCACCAGTTTCTCTAAGGAGATAGCCGGGCAAAAGCACCAGTTTCTCTAAGGAGATAGCCGGGCAAAAGCACCAGTTTCTCTAAGGAGATAGCCGGGCAAAAGCACCAGTTTCTCTAAGGAGATAGCCGGGCAAAAGCACCAGTTTCTCCGGAGATAGCAGGGCAAAAAAGCACCAGTTTCTCCGGAGATAGCAGGGCAAAAGCACCAGTTTCTCTAAGGAGATAGCCGGGCAAAAGCACCAGTTTCTCTAAGGAGATAGCAGGGCAAAAGCACCAGTTTCTCTAAGGAGATAGCCGGGCAAAAGCACCAGTTTCTCTAAGGAGATAGCCGGGCAAAAGCACCAGTTTCTCTAAGGAGATAGCCGGGCAAAAGCACCAGTTTCTCTAAGGAGATAGCCGGGCAAAAGCACCAGTTTCTCTAAGGAGATAGCCGGGCAAAAGCACCAGTTTCATTAAGGAGATAGCTGGGCGATCTTCACTTCAACGATTAAACTCCAATGCTCTCGTCTACATGGTTAGCGTTTTTACTTTATTAAATTCGCAAGTTTTGTCCGCAAGTTTTCTCCTCTAAATAAGTTTATCCTTTTTCAATGTTAAAGCCAATTAAATGGTGGCCAAGTTCTTTTCAAACGAGAAGACGTACAGCAAATGTTCCATTGGTTAGATGCATTGATTTGCTTGTTTTGAATGGTTGATCTTTTTATAGGTTGTTTTTATGTCTAAAGGATTTTTAATTACTTAATTTTCAGCTTTGACAAAGTATCCAGAAGCCTTAAAAATTTTTAAGAGGTTATTTTTAATTATTTACTATGGTTTCAAGATTATTTTTTAGTCCGGTGAATTGTTGCGTGAAGACTCTTTTTGATGAGAATGCTTTGGAAGAATAAGAATCAGCAGAAAAAATGACCGAAGAACTGCAATCTTTTGTTAGAATTCAGAAAATTAGGTTTGCAAATTAATTGATTAATTTGATTATTAGGTTTCCATAATTGTTTATATTTTTCAAGTTCTGTCCCTTTTGGAGCTTACTAATTTAAAGAATCTCTGTTATGGGTGTTTAAATCTCCGTCCGGTTGCTTCCCTTGGGATTGTGACTTGTAGGGAGGTTTTTGTTTGTCTATCCGATTTCGACAAATTATAAGTCATTAGAAAAAGCTCGTCGAGCTGACATGAGTCGATATGGGATAAATGGTTAGGGCCATCCTATAAGTCAAGGGCGTAGCCAGGGAGCTTCTAGGGCTATAGCCCCCCCCCCTTGAAATTTGGAAACTGAACTCGGTCCCCTAAACGTCCGTTCGGCCTCTTCCCCCGAGCTATGAATCAGCTCGCCAAGCTCTTTCGAATAACACCTCATCAAAATCGTGTGTGCCACCATAAACCCTGTGTCACAACATTCTCCAGTTTTTCGTTACTGTCCATTATTCCTTTTTAGACATTTTTTTCACTTTTGGTCTATCGGTATTTTGTTAAGCTTCCCCTTTTCGACTTATCCTTTCCGACTTTTAGGCATTCTTTCCTATTTTTCCATTAGTTTTCTTAATTTTCTTTTTAGTACTACACAAGCCTCGTCATCAACTTCAACAACAAATTCCTGGCCTTTTTGTTTCTTTGAAGAAGCGATGGAATTATAAAAGAAGCAAGTGTTGGCATAAAAGAAAAAATTGGATTTATGAACGAATATGGTGACTAAAACATAGTTTTTTTTCAAATTTTTTTTGTTTTTAATTAGATAGTCGAATTAACCTAAAAATCTTCGACATTTCTCAAAAATGAAGAAAAATTGACGGTTTATTTTCAAATTTAATTTTGACTATACAATCATCATTTAAATTTTGCTTGTTTTTAACTAAATTTTATCTGTTTGCATAAATAAAAATGAATTTGTTGTTGTTGAATTACCGTTTTTCATTAAATTTTATGTATCGAGGACTTTAAATTTAAATCGATTTCTTGAAGGATTTAACGGTCTTATACCCTCATCAAATTCCAAAGAGACCATTTCTCATGTTATCAGACTCTTGTATTCCTTTTTGTATTGAGAACTACTCTTACTCTTTTTTAAAGCAAGGTGGAATGTAGCAAGTAGAGAAAGAAAATGTTTGAGGGAGTTGAGAAGTTGGGATGTAATGTTAAAAATAAATGACATTTTGTCCCAAGAGTTAGAGAAATTCTATAAAACAAATAGTGGAGCTAGAGAAAAAAATAAATATCAAATGTTTAGGTCGCTTCAGTGCTGGATTCAGAGAGTGCGAAGTTACTGTATTTGAAATTGTATTTGAAATTAAACCACATATTTTTTATTTTTCTCTAACTTAAGGGAAAGATTGGGCATACAAGTGACCGGGTAATAAGGCTCCCATACAAAACATAAATTCTTAAAACATCAAACTCTCAAAATATCTAGACGAGTAAAAAATCTCAAAACATATTCTCTCAAAACATCAAACTCTTAAAATATATTTACGGGTAAAATATCTCAAAATATCAAAATATATTTTTTAATTAAAAGGGACAGTTGAGTCCCATATTTCTTCCTTGTATCAGGGGTGAATATATTTTAAGATGTAGTACTTCAGGACCAATTTTGCATGAGTTCGACGAGCTGAATCAAGTGAAACCAAAATCAGCTCGATTGGACGCTTCTGAACAAAGTTATGACCAACAGAATCTTCGCTGGAAAAACTGTTTTTGTGCTGCTACGGAGGGTAGGCCGGGCATGGTCTTCGCTACACGATGGCCGTGCTTCGCTGCGGTCGTGCTCGCTTCGCTCGCGGCGACCGTAGCGAAGCGGCGGCCGTCGTTCCGCTCGACATGCCCGGCTTCCTCCGCAGCGGCGAAAACTTTTTTCTGCGGACTCAACTGTCCCTTTTAATTGAAAAAATATATTTTGATATTTTGAGATATTTTACCCGTAAATATATTTTAAGAGTTTGACGTTTTAAGAAAATATATTTTTAGATTTTATAGCCGTCTAGATATTTTGAGATTCTTTAACCGTCTAGATATTTTGAGCTTTTTTACTCGTCTAGATATTTTAAGAGTTTGATGTTTTGAGCGGGCACGGGTAATAAAAACACCGTTGCATTAAAAGATTAGAAAGGGCAAACAGGGTAAAAAAAGACTGAAAAAATAGAAGTCCGTTGCATTAAAAGACCGAAAAGACCAAAATAGGTTAAAAGACAGATAAATTAAAAGACCGGTGCAATAAAAGACCGGTAGCTCAAAAAGGGTTAGAAGATCGATTAATTAAAAGTCCGTTTTAATAAAAAACCGGAAGCCCAAAAAGGGTTAAAATGCCGATTAATTGAAAGACCGGTGCAATAAAAGACCGGTAAGGCCAAAAAGGGGTTAAAAGACCGAGTAATTAAAAGATTTCTGTAATAAAAGACCGTAAGGCCAAATTGGCGGCAAAAAACGGCCAAAAAAACATTGTTAACATGATACCTTAAACTTGATTAACCATAATATAAAGGAATTGAAAAGAAAATTTTGGACTCTTTTAATTTGAGAGATTAATTATCTACAGCGGTGGATTTTTAAAACATAGGACTTTATCACGACAAAATCAGAACAAGTCCAAGCTAATTGATTAAATACTTTTCTAACAAATTAAAACGTTTTTATCGAATACAGTAAGCTTTTCCCTCTGAGAAATTGGCACTCAACCGACCTAGTATTTGATGTATTCTCTAACCATTCATTTTCTTTTTATTCTTCTCTAAACTAAGGGACAAAGTGTCATTTATTTAAAAAATTATATCTCTACTCACACACTATCTTCAACATTTATTTCTCTACTTAATACATTCAATATTACTACATTTCGTCAAAAAACTTTAAAGGGAATACTAGAGTCCTAATATCTAAAAAATTATCACCTTAAGGCGTTGTAAAAAACCCAAATGAGAAATAAATGGAAAATATTTATTTAACGAAGCATAAATGATAAACACATAAAATCTATTGCAGGCTAAAAGAAGGAAATGTTTAGAAAATGTCGTAATCCAATAATTTATAAAAAAAAACGGCTAAAATCTTTTTAATAAGTACATGAGCCTTCATATTTTCAATAAATATTATTCCTTCATGAAATCAAATTAAGCGATGTGAGCAAATGCGTCATCCAATCACTAAACCAATGAAATATCTTCGCCAGCGTTGACAAAGAGGCCAATCTTTTATCCGTGGCTGCCTCTTTTTCTTCAATTGCTTTGCGTCGAGCTTCCAAATCCTTAAAAATAACTTTTTAAAAACTTATTTTTAAAAATATATTTATCAACCTCACGATCACGTTCCAAAGCTTCTTTCAATTGTCGCTGCCTCTCATCACGAGATTCTTTCAATTTATTTTCATGATAAGAATTTAGAAGATGAAAACCAGCACCCAATGCCCAAGAAACTTCCATTGAACGAATCTTTTTCACTAACTAAAAAAATTAAATTTAAAATAATTTTATCTCATTTACATTGATTTTCCTGTCATCAGGCAATCCATATCCGTAATGTAAAAGTGTATAAATATATGTTAAATCAAGACATTGCCACGGTTGCCATGGTTCAGGCCCGATGGCTTCTGATGGCATAGCACAAGCTTAAAAATGATTATTAGTCCTGAGGTTGAAGAAAGAAGTTTAAAAAATGTCTTCAGGATGGGGAAGTCCATAAAAAAATAATCTAGATAAAAAACCTGCCTTTTTCAGCAGCAATTTTATAATCGCCAACTTTTGCTTCTCCTCCAATTTGTTCCAAAGTATATTCAACTATATTTCCTTGTAACCCACGATCATAAAAATATCCAAATAAATAAAGATCTTCCTCGTCCACCAATAATTTAATTTGCTTAATATCAGTAAGATTTGTTACATAATGTTTAGCTGTTTCCAAACAATTTTCAAAACTTGCATCGATTGTTGCACTAAAAAAGGATAAAGATTTTAGAACTTTTCAGTTTGTAATAAAAAAACCTAATTAACCAAACATTGCCCGCATAATCAAAATCATCCAATATAAACTTCTTTGGCAAACAATGTGTTTTAAGTGCTGGAGCACCTCCCGGACTCCAATCTGGAGAAGACAACTTGGCAATTCCTAAACGAGAAGCGACAAGTCCATTGCCCAAATAACTAAAATAAATTTAGCTTACAAAAAAAAGTTTAAAAATAACCTATGAGTATAAAGGCGAAGCTCTTTCTCAAAAATTTTGAGACGATGTGAATATTTTTGACGATGAAGGCCACGCATAGCAGTATTAAAATCGCTGGGTATGAAAGTAACTTGTGTTGAACCACCGCCCAGATCAAGCGCAGTTGCTGCTTTTCCACCTAAAAAAATAATTTTAGATCTAACACGGAGAGGTTGCGAGGTGTCCGAGCTAAAAACGGTCGAGACCGGGCTCATTCGATAGAGAATATGCCCTTTCTAGCAAGGATTTTTTGCCGTTTTTGCCCGTTTTTTGATCTGGCCAAGATATGGCCCTCCAAAGTCCCAAAATTTGCCATAATTTTCCCCCTTCAAATATAAACATTAAATAATGGACTAATTTTGTTGGCGTTGTGGTGTAGTGGTGAGTGTGCTTGACTTACCCTTTTTCTCTAAAAAGTTCGATTCTTTTTGGGTTTTATTATTTTATCTAACTGTTTTAAATAGGGTTGGTCCCCGACCCCGACTAACCCCGACCCCGAACCCCGACATTTTTTGACCTAAAACCCCGACCCCGACCCCGACATTCCCAACCCCGAAAACCCCGACCCCCGATAGTTCGACCCCGACGACCCCGAACCCCGAAAAATTTTTATGCCCCCGACTCAAACTGCATTAATTAACTAGAGATCGGAACGGGATCGGGACTTTGATGTTAAATATATGAAGGAAAAGGGAAAGGAATATTTGTATTTTCTCCTGTTTCCTTATGTTGGTCGGTGGTTGTGTGGTTAGGTTAACTGACTTCACCCATCTAGCTATTTTGATAGGGATGTTGTTCGAATCCATGGATGGAAATGAGGCTGAGAAAGTTTTTCTTCTCAAAAATAAATATTTTTAAACTTTGATCTTGATTTTAAATTTGCAAATTTATTTTTTTAATATTTTAAACTTGAAACAATATTAGAAATTTTAACTAGTCATGAATTTTCCTAAATTTTTGCCTTGGGTCAGAAAATGGAAGAAATCTATCTCTTGGCCTTCCAAAATTCTCAAAATTTTTGCCTGCGGCGCCGAAAATGGAAGAAATCTGGCTCTTGACCTTCCAAAATTCTTAAAATTTTTGCCTGCGGCGCCGAAAATAGAAGAAATCTGGCTCTTGACCTTCCAAAATTCTCAAAATTTTTGCCTGCGGCGCTTCTCAAAATTTTTGCCTGCGGCGCCTTCATATCCCCTCAACCCCTTTACATAAGAGGGGGAGTAAGAGTTACCTTGTGGGTTTGGGGATTTTGGTGATTATGAAGGATAACTTGGATAAAGTAATTCTTGCGCCTTCAACTAATAACGAATTAGATATAGAAAGTGAAGATAATGAAGATTAAGTTGATTTTTTTAATAAAAATGTTGATTTTGAACAGTAATGTTGGATGAAAATGCTGGATTTTGTAAATTTTCACTACAACCCCGACCCCCGACCCCGAACCCCGACATTATTTTCAGCCCCGACCCCGACCCCGAACAAATTGAGCAACCCCGACCCCGACCCCGACGTTGTCAACCCCGAAAACCCCGACCCCCGACTTTTTCAACCCCGAAGGCTCGGGGACCAACCCTAGTTTTAAACATTATTTATTCCTTTTCCAACAAAAAAAAATTTTTTTTGTTTGAAAAAAATTTTTAAAATTTTTTAAAAATTTTTAAAAATAAAAAAAAATTTTTTAAAAACATTATTCTGACGAGTTATTGGGTGGAGAGGAGAAGATTCTCCGGGAGAATTCGATCATCCATTATCGTCTTCTTTTGGATGTAATACACCTAATTGTTTGGAATAGTTTTATTTTATGTGCCAGCTGTAGTAAATTCTAGTTTTATAACAAATCTAGTTTAAAAAAAATTATTTTTAATTTTTTAAAAATTTTTAAAAAATTTTAAAAAATTTTTTTCAAACAAAAAAAATTTTTTTTGTTGGAAAAGGAATAAATAATGTTTAAAACAGTTAGATAAAATAATAAAACCCAAAAAGAATCGAACTTTTTAGAGAAAAAGAGTAAGTCAAGCACACTCACCACTACACCACAACGCCAACAAAATTAAATCATTATTTAATGTTTATATTTGAAGGGGGAAAATTATGCCAAATTTTGGGACTTTGGAGGGCCATATCTTGGCCAGATCAAAAAACGGGCAAAAACGGCAAAAAATCCTTGCTAGAAAGGGCATATTCTCTATCGAATGAGCCCGGTCTCGACCGTTTTTAGCTCGGACACCTCGCAACCTCTCCGTGTAAACATATTTACTCACTTCCATTTAATACATTGTCGAGCTTTTGAAGTAAAAAGTTGAGAGTAAACCACCCAAAAACTCCTTCATCAGTTCCACTCAACATTCCAACAGCATCATCATCAACTAACAAACCACTCGACATTATTTCAGTTTCAATCTGACAGAAAAAGATAAATTAAAATTAAGAAAAATACTCACATGGGAAAGTAATCCCTCAGCTTCTTTATCATTCAAAAGCCTAACACCAGCAGTTGCCCGAAACGTAATTGGAGTTTTTGCCCAAAGCTCTTCAGGAATGTGCTTTTTTGCTATAAGTAACAAAACTCGAATATTTTCTGCTGCTTGTTCTGGTGTTTTTGCGAAAGCAGATACTCCTGGTTTGGTCTAGAAAAGTAAAAAGGATTAACATGCTTCGACAGAATTAGTTTAAAATATAATGAAATCGCGGGTAAATCGGCTGCTCCAGCAAAAATTGTTTTTTACTAAAAGAATTCGAACCCAGTAATTAGATGGTGCAAATCTAAACACTATCCAACTGAACCAAGGATTTTATCGAAACTAACAAACTAACCTCTCTATATGTTTCAGCCTCTAACTTAAATGTGCTAGGATCCTTTGCTGTATCATGACTGAATTCAAAGATATGAAGTCTAAAAAGAATTCAAGAATATGCAATATATAATCGTTATAAACCTTGTTCCCGTAGAGCCAGCATCAATAACAGCGGCAAAAAACCGAAATTGACTTTTCTCCTAAATGATAAATTTATAAAAAAAATCAAAATTAAACAACTTGTTCCTCTAAATCTGGTGAAAGGCATTTGTTAAGCTCATCAGTATTTGCTGGATGAAGCCTATCAGTGGATACATTCTCGTCAGCTTTTTCATAAAATAATTGTGAATGAATAGCAACAATTGTGAAGAAAATAAGCAAAGAAATAGTTAAAAGTTGTAATGATGAACGTGGAATGTTTAATATTTGGCTCATTTTACTAAAAATAAAAAAAATAATTAAATAGGAAGAGGTAAAAAATTATTATTTGTGAAAGTTAACGGAAAGGGCGCGAGAGGTAATTAATTTTTGTCAGCAGGTTACCATGGGTAAATTTAATGTCCAAGAAACAATTTTAATTAGACAGGATTTATTTTTAACATCAAAGAAAAGTCTGTTTTTCTCTTGTTAAAAGAGCAATTAACACGGCATTTAAAAACTATATAATTTTTAACAATCAATTTGTAAAAGTGTTTGCATGCATTCACAAATAAATAGTCTGAAATGGAACGAAAATAAACAATACTTCGATCGTAAACAAGTACAAACGAGTCTCGAAAAAGGAAATTACAAACAAGAGTATTTAAAAAGCGGAGTGCACGAGAGTCACTTCAAGAACGCAACGGCAGGCCGAAAGTTAACGCAAAACTAATTGTGCACATGATCTGATCAACCCAATCCTGTTAGAAAAAATGATCCACACATCAAGGACTTTTGAATGATATAATAGTCATTCAAATCGGTTTGGAATCAAAAAAATTATGGCCCAAATATTGCCTCTAGACTGAATTGGCAATACTGAATCGTTCTTTTCCGGAAAAATTAAGGGTCGTGAGAGTCCTAGCATTAAAACATAACTAGGCTAAATTTCAACTGAAGAGATCAATTCCAGATGCGTGATTGTGATTCCGAAGCTGTTTATCTTCCTGGGAATTGTAATGGAAATAAATTAAATAGACGTATTGAAATTCTCGAAAATCTTCTTTCTGCATCTGGTGATGATACGACTGCCACAACAAATTCATTAAGGCAAGCCCTACGCCGAAACAAATCTGACATGGCCGATGGTTAAATTTTTCATTTTTTTATTTTTTAGTATGCATTTAATTATAGATACGACTAAATCGCTGGATGTACTTAGACAGGTTTGTATAAAGTTTGGTTATTCTAAGGTAGTTAGAGGGGGTTTGAAGGCGGAAAAATATATACTGACCATTTTAAAGGTATTTCAACCTGACTTCAATGAAGAAATAAAGGTAATAAAATTAGTAATATTTACAAGTAAATTCATAACTTGCAGCAAGTTATTGACCGCCATCTCCGAACGACGTTTACTCCTGCTTTTGAAAATTTGCGAAGGAACGGCCATGTGAGCTTACACAATTTTTTGACTAGTTAAATCTAATTTAAAGGAAGTATCAGAAGATGATGTCAATAAATTGTGCATTTCTATTTTGGATGGCGCCAAAACGTTATTTGATTCGCAACAGAAAGAAAGTGAGGAGGGAAACAGAAAATGCGTTCCGGTTAGAACCATTTAATTTTAATTTGTGATTGTATTTTTAGGCATATACCGCTTTACTTAAACACAATTTATCTGAGTTACAAATGCAAACTGAAATGTCGCACTTATATGATAGTGATAATGAAAGTGACGGAAGCTTGATTAGTTACAATTCTTCATTACAAAACGCTCATTCGTCTCTTTCAGGTTTTATATAAATTTTAAAATGGCCCAGCTGATTTGTAACTTCCCTGGTTTTTAAGACCGCCCAAAGAAGCGTGGTCGTCCCAAAAAGATTGATTTGGATACGGGACGAAGTGGTACTCCAGTAATGAATGGAAGACAACCTATAACACATGCAGAAGCTTTAAAGGTATTTGTCAAACTGAAAATATTTTTAAATTTTTTTAAGTGGGATCCAAAACGATTTTCGAATGATTCTCCATTTGTTCTTATTTCCAAATTGAATAAACTGCTAGGATTTACTTCTACACGTGGTCACTTGCTTGGAAAATATCCTCGATTGTTTCGTTATGTGGCAGATGAGGAAGACAAGGCATGGTTATTTCAAAGAAACGTTACAAAACGCATAAGTGGCAAAGTTTTTCTATCATCTCTAGAGGATGCTTTGGAAATTGCAGCAAAAGAAGGAGCACAGTAAATTTTTTCTTAACGTGGAAACTTCCGGGTTGTCCAAATATTAGACCATTTCAAAACCAGGGTTAAATTTTTGCATGTCTTCCTGAAGTCCTTTCAACGACAAAAATTAATCTGCAAACAATTCAGGACTCAAATAAGAAACGAATTACAACGTGTTAGCTTCCTGGTACCTGATATGCTCATACAAAAAATTAAAACAAAGATGACTACACCATTTGAACAACTTAAAAACCGAGTGATTCTCACTTCCAATCAACAACTTGAAGCAACTAATGTTACTATGCCACCAACGTTTATACCAGCTTTTACTATTTAGGAAAATTTAAAACCAGCCCAGATGACGGAAACCCTGTTACTAAATTTATCAAACAAGTTTTTTCTCATCTCTCTTTAGTCAGAAAATTAAAATAATTAATGGACAATTTATAAATTACTTTATTAATGTATAAAAACATACCCCACGATATTTTGCACATATTGCTAGGAATTATGTAATTAGGTTCAGAACATTTATCCTTCTTTGGATCTCGCAACCAAAACATCCAGAACAGCATCCTTTGACAAGTACTTCACGGCTCGACTATTTGTATAAATAACGTATTTACATCGAATAAAAAAGAAAACCTGTGTGTAATCATTGTCTGAAAAATTATTTTTTTTTTTTGAATTTTTAAAAATAACCATTACATAGTCAATCCTGTTAACTTGAAGCAATTTATCATGCACTTTCAGACCTGCTTTCTGAGCCGGTGAATCAGGCTCGACTTGTGTTACATAAATCCCCTAGAATATAAAAAATGTTATTTTATAAACTTAATTATTTACATTATCCTTATAGATTGACTTGCTACAATCCTGATCAATTCCACCACCAATGCTCATCCCAATTTTATATATTTTCTCGCCAGATCGAAGGGTTACTTCTTGTTTGTATATTTTAAGAGCCATACACAAACAGTCTAGAGGTTTTCCACTTTGGTGTTCAAATTCTGACATTATTGGAAATAAATAACTGAAAACTAATAATTAGACAATGAAATCATGTCAAGATTAAGTAATTAAAAGAATAGAAACATGAAAAAAAATAAAAGTTAGGGGAAGAGATTTATTAATTTTTCAAAAAAGGCACAAGTGAATAAGTATAATATGTTTAAGTAAAGAAATATCACAAAGGTAAATCTGAAATTAAGAGCGGAGGGACAATAAAGAATAAACCTTATATTTTTATTAATTTAAAGTAGACATAGCCGAATGAAATGTTTCAGCACTCGCCAATGAATGTGTCCTTTTTATTCGTAACTCACTTACGCCGAGGGGATCACCTCTCAGCCGTAATCCTTCATCCTCTCCTTCATAATCTCCGTCTTCTTTGCTGATCAATTCTTTTGATTGTTCGAGAATTATTGAAGACTTTTCTTCATCTAGTGTAGATAAATTTGGAACCGATAAAGAAGAGGTCAGCTTCGCGCCATTTTGTAATTTTCGTTGTAATTCTTCAAATCGTTCCAAATCTTGCCTCGATTCTTTTGAAAGAGGTGCAACACGAACACCAACAGATTCAAGAACTCTGGTGAGTTTCTGACAAAAAATAAAATGAAATAATTTATAACTAATAATCAACCTTGGAATAATCCATATGTCCCTTCACCTTAAAATATGTTTAATTACAATTTAAAAGGAAAACATACAATATGTGAAAGATTGAAATTGACGATTTTTCGTTCATTTTTGTTATCAACTGGTCCTGTTCCTGCAATAACAAATTGTACACTCATTGTGCTTAAACCGAACAAATTATCAAATAATCTAAAGGTTAAAAAACCGATAAAGAAAACGTAAAAGCCAGTCAGTTTTACAATAACCATTTATTACACGGCCGCCGACTACTGAGCAAATCTGACGCCATTGAGACGGTGAAGCAGAAACTTAAAGCGTTATATTAAAATTAGATATTATTGTTTGAAGGTAAACCTGGAGCGCCAAGCAAAATAACATCTTCAACTATACCTGTAATGGAGAAATTTATAATCAATTTATAATCCCATTTAAGTATAATTATTACCAAGTGAATAAGGTTTGCGTTTATTCATTTCCATTAAGCAGTGATAAATAACCCGTGCACCAAGTGAAAAACCAATTAGTGTTATAGGCCTTCGACCATGGGATCTTGTGAGCAAAACTTCCGCCAAATGTTCTCCAGTTTCAGCAGCTCTTTTTGTACAAATGTTCCAAGGATTATCAATAATGGAAGAAGATCCCAGTAAAATAAGTGGCCAAGCAATGGCTGAAACCAAACCAGCCAAAACAGTTTCCATCAGAGAGCGCTGTACTGCATAACTAACTACGAATGAAACAAAGTATTCAATACTTTTTCCAAGTTCTTCTAAATACTAAAAACAACAATTATATAAATTTACGACTAAAAGATAAAAACCTTGCTTTCCCATCTCAAGGTATATTGCTCCTTACTCATCCAAAGATGACGCCAATGTGTACGAAAAGCTTGAGATTCTCTATCTTCAATCCATCCAGAAACGCAGAGCACACAATGCAAAGCTCTATTCTCCTCTTCGGTTAGTCGTTCAATGGTAAATTCTTCAATATCACCAACACGCTTCTGCATTCGATAACCACTTAAACCAGCTCCTTTAAGAAAATAATTTTAATCGACTTTAAATATATAAAATACCAGCTACACCAAATAATGATCCAAAAATAGCTGTAATTGCAGTTCCAGTTAAACCAGCAAATATCGTTGTAGCCGTAAGAGCGGAAATAGAGGCAACAATTAATGGCGCAGCCAAACCACCAGTAACACCTTTTTATCAAAAGAAATAATTCTACATTTATAAAATTAAAAAACCTATTAGAACACCACCCAAGCCAGTAGCAGCCCCAATAATTGCGTAGCGTTTATATTTTCTCAATTTGGATTTCTTCTCACGAATTTGTTGATTCTCCCTGAAATAAAAAATTCTAATTGTAGAATTGCTAATACATAATTACATAGATTCTTTATACTCTGTTACAAGTTGATCACCCAAAGTCGATTCAAACTGAAAA